CAGCCTTGGCTGCCCTGGGGAGCGCGTACCGCCTTCGAGGCGGTCCGCCCGAACTCGACGTGGAGGAGGAGGCGGCCGCGGGCGAGGAGGCCGAAGACGGCCAGAGAGAATCCATCATCGCGATGGAGGAAGAGGAGTACATTTGAGTTTCTTGTTTCGAACATTCTGTCTCGAGTCCTGTCACTATTCCTCGCCCCGCGTCGAAGACCGGCGATGGACGGGCCCCAGAAAAAGTAGTGTAATAGGTTCCGAAATTGAGTGCAACTAAATTATTTCTGGCGCTGAATTAATCAGTGGTGGAGGCATCGGCTCGCAATACTCGAAACGGTGGCGTGCGAGTTAGTCTCTGGCAACCCGCACGGCATAAGCTTCGAACACGGGTTCGAACGCCGTCTTCGGCTCTACGACGATGTAAGGCAACTAAAACGATGATGGTGCTTGGTCGGATTGCACGACATCCTACCTACCATGGGTACACGAAAGGGTTGCATTGCAGGGTAGGATGTGGGGTGGAGTGCGTGCAGAATGAAATTCGGTTTAACGGGTCTCTTGTTGTCGGCCTGGGGGGTGGAAGAAGACTGTTTGAAGCTTCCAGTTCGGTTATGGTTGCATCAAGACGCTACGGGATCTTACACGAAACTGGTGAGCGATCCTCATGCGTACGCGACACAGTTGTTGGATGCTTTGAATGAGAAGTTGGAGGACTTTGATTTTGGCGGTTCGTTGTTCCGTGATCGCCTTTGCGAGAAACAGGGTGGTTGTTTCAATCAAGGCGTGACGTTTGGTGGTTCGTACAGCAGTAAAGTGTCTGAGTTTGCGGAATTTATGAAGGGGCAGATCTTCGCCGGAGGTGGCGATGCACCGGAGGATACCTTGTCTGCGATACCTTACGTTGCTAAGCAGCACTTCGGCAGCTTGGATGGGGAGCAGATCCGTATTTTTCTGATTGTCACGGACTACAAAGGCAAGTACCATGGGCAGCCGAATGAGGGCGACATGTACTCCTACGAGTCCGACTCGGCAGTGGAGAACCCGGACCCGGAGTCAGCAGTATCGTGCGACGAGGATGTGTGGTACCCGACCGTGGAACAGCTCTCCAAGAGTATTGCCACGTACCGACTGGTACCTGTCGTCGTCGCCGCTGGCAAATCTGGAGACTGGTGGCGAAAGTTTTTCGTAGAACAACTCGGCCTCTCGGAGAGCACCGGGGAGTTTGCCGTGTACCCAGTGAGTAACACCGTCGAGTCCATTGCGGAAGGAGTGATCAACAGCGTCAACGACGTCAGCTGCATTGTAGTTAGCACCTCCACCACGGCGGCCCCCACGCCCACCACTGCGACTGCCACCACTGCGACTGCCACCACTGCCACTGCCACCACTGCCACTGCCACCACTGCCACTGCCACCACTGCGACTGCGACTGCAACGAGCACGACTGCCGGGGACCACAAGAAGAAGAACGCTGTCATTGCCGCATCCGCCGCAGCGGGAGCGGCTGCAGCCTTGGCTGCGGTGGGAGCCGCCTACCGGCTCAGAGGGGGTCCGCCTGAGCTCGACGTCGAGGAGGAGGCGGCCGCCGCCGAGGAGGGCGCAGGGGGCCAGAGAGAGTCTATCATTGCAATGGAGGAAGATGAGTATATTTGAATTGTTTGTTTTGAACGTTCTATTTCTGTTCTTTGTCATGGAGCGGGGTCTGAGCAGGGACCATCAGGAGTGGTGGTGGTGAGGAGGAAGGGTAGGCGGCTTTGTAATAGGCTAAATTGAGTGTGTGTGATTGGTGGCGTTGTGTTATAGTGCAGCACACACCGTTGCGGTAGAGGGTTGTGGGGTGTGCGTGCTTAAGAAACTCAGCTTTGCGACTCTCTTCTTGGCGGTATGGGCGGTGGAAGAAGACTGTTTGAAGCTTCCAGTTCGGTTGTGGTTGCATCAAGACGCTACGGGTTCGTACAAGAGTGTCATGGGTGACCCACAGACGTATGTGGAAGAGTTGCTGGACGCTTTAAATGACAAGTTGGACGATTTTGATTTTGGCGGTTCGTTATTCCACGACCGACATTCCGATGAATTCGGCGGATGTTTCAGTGAAGGCGTGCCCTTCGGTGGTTCGTACAGTAGCAAGCAGTCTGACTTCGCTCAGTTCTTCAATAAGGCGATTTTCGGAGGTGGCGGCGACGGACCTGAGGACCCGTTGTCTGCAATCCCGTACATCGGTAAGACGCAGTTCGACAAGTTGGAGGGGGATCAAATCCGTATCTTCCTGATTATTACGGACGCCCAGGCAAAGTGCCACGGGCTGGATACTTTGAATGCCTTAGATGAGCTTCCGGGCTCAACAGAGAACGAGGACCCAGAGTCGAGTGTGACGTGCGACCCGACGAAGTGGTTCCCAACACTGGAACAGCTATCCTCAGCCATTGACAAGTACCAAATCGTTCCGGTCACGCTCGCGGCCGGCGACGAGATGGCTGAGTGGTGGCGGGACTTTTATTCGAAACAGCTCGGGTTGTCAGAGAGCGCCGGGGAATTTAACGTGCTCACCATAGAGAACAGTGCCGATTCCATTGCTCAAGGTGTGATCGATAGCGTTAATACCGTTAGCTGCACCGTTGTCAGCACCTCCTCCACCGTGGCTCCCACGCCGACCACTGGCGGCACTACTGGCGGCACAACTGGTGGCACAACTGGTGGCACTACTGGTGGCACTACTGGTGGTACTACTGGCGGCACAACTGGTGGCACTACTGGTGGCACCACTACCACGGCTGCTG